CAGCACAACACGCATAATAAAAAGTTGGAGGAGCAGACAATGCATTGCAGCAAATTCAAATAATCCGAACAAAAATATTTCTCGAAAATTGAGCTCGGTCACAATGAAATACGCGTGGTGTGATCAGTTCATAAATATTTATCAATAAAAAACAAAACAGAACGTAATAAGACAACAACGATGTTCTCCTTCACTCATGCAAAGTGGGTTTGTGGCCGGCGCGTCGTGAACAGTGCCACATTCTTACGTTTCGTGATACGATGTGGCAAAGGGAAGCTTATTTTCGAGTTGTGGAACTGCTTGATTGCCGGTCGCTTGCAGCTGGATGCTTTGATCGCCTGTACTTTAATGATCTGCAATCTTCCTGAGTTATTTCATGTTTACCCGATACGGACGTTACCCGAAATTTCTCCTAACGTAGCTAAAATTAAATACTATTCGAGCAGCGTAAAAAGACTCTGCTCGTCGATATAGACAGACACCTCTTTGAACCAAAGAACCGGTACGAAATACATGATTTTTGCCTGTGGAAACCAGATTTACGTATTGTCGTGGACGGAGCTCTTTCTCGAAAATTGTTCTCGACTAGGAGAAAATCGAACCACTCCTCTTAAAGTCCGAAAGCAACGCCAAAGGTTAAGTTCCTGAAACTTCTCCTTTTCGGCTCATCTACTTTGGCCACCGGTCCTTGTATTCCAGGTTCAACCTGGCAGCACATCTGCTGTGTATCTTCCTTCAAGGCGGATATGCCCTTTTCCTCTTTTTATTTGTGGCGGCTTTTTAACCGGTTTTTCGCGGGTTTTCTGTAGCACACACACCAGAAATGCGATCACAAGTTCCATATTAAAATCCTGCGGTATAAACAGAATCAAGGATTAAATTTTTGAAATTTCAGTTTTCCAGATAATTTGTTCAGGCAGCTGAAAATAGGTTGCGTCCGGAGGATAAGTAAAATGAAGGTGGGACTACTCTCCAGCATCCTTAAGCGCGCTAGTGTAAAATCACTGCTATGAATCACTGAATCTGGCTTCCACAAACAAACTGGAACCATTGGCGTATGACCCCTCGCCCTCCCCGCAGGGGCTCAGGTAGCAGCTGTTTTACTGTATAAAATTCCGTTCGGTACCCCGTGTTGCCCCTCCTCTCCCACTCCCTCACTTGGGAGCTTCTCCCCCCCCTGGTCATCGGCATAGTTTATGGCCGACCAGCAGGGTGCCCGAAGGAGAGGGAAATATGAGGCTTCCGGTGTAGTGACGAACAGGGAGATGTTTCCCATCTACAGGAGATTGCCCAGGATCCGCCTAAGGCTAGAACGAATGCTTTCAAAAAACGTCGTTTCATGCTTCATCATGCCCATTACTAAGACCGGGTAGGACGGCTGTTGTGTGGAGGTAGGGAGGGCGGGGAGAGAGGGAGTAGGGGAGGGGGAGGGCCAGCAGAAGCGAAATACAACATATGCCAGGCTCGCTGCTTCTGAGCTGCATATCTTCATGCACCATTTCCTGTCCGATTCATTAGCACCACATCTTCAAAAACCACCTGAATGATCGTTTCCTTTTTATGCGTTTTTTGCAGCTACACAATGCAAAAACGCATACTGAGGGGTTGTCTGTGTGTCTGTGTGTCCGTGTGTGCGTCTGTCACGCACTTTCATCTCAAGACCTATAAAAGCTGAAATTTCGGGAAGTTAATCTACATGCACATGCCGACCCCGATCCCCAAAATGGGCGCCAACACACGCGTACAGGCCCGCCAATGTTTTTTGGAGGTAAGTTCATAACTCGGGGATCTGAGAAGCTAAAACGCTGAAATCTTAAAGGCGTGTTCCCCAGCCCAAGTAGGTATTAAGGAGTTCAAACCCTGCTCGCTGGTAAGCGTGGTACCTATGCACGGGCTCTTGAACGTTTCTTTCGGGTAAGTTGCTAACTCGAGAAAGTGAGAAGCTAGAAGACTGGGATTTTGAAGGGATGCTTCCTGACAATCCTGGTGGCCAGTCTGAAATTCTTTTAGCTAGAAGCATCTACCAGAAAAACCAGTGCCGTTAGCGACAAAAATCTGCGGG